CCGTCATCGTCGTCGTCGTCAACGTCGCTGTCGTCGGCATCGTCACCGTCGTCGTCGTCGTCGACGTCATCGTCGGCGTTTCCGTCATTGTCGTCGGCATCGTCAGCACCGTCGTCGTCGTCGACGTCACCGTCACCATCGTCGTCGTCTTCGTCATCGACATCGTCGTCGTCAGCATATTTAACGACGTCGCCGTCGTCGTCGTCGGCGTCGGCATCGTTGTCAGCGTCGTTGTCGTCCGCGTCGTCACCGTCGTCGTCGTCGTCGCTACCGCCATCGTCATCGTCGTCGCAGTCGTCGTCGTCGTCGTCGTCACCGTCGGCGTCGTCGTCATCGTCGTGGTCGACATCGGCATCGTCGTCTTCGTCCTCGTCATCGTCGTCGTCGGCGTCGTCACCGTCGTCACCGCCGTCGTCGTCTGCGTCGTCACCGTCGGCGTCGTCGTCGGCGGCGTCGGCGTAGGCATCGTTGTCAGCGGCGTCGTCATCCGCGTCGTCACCGTCGTTGTCGTCGTCGCTACCGTCATCGTCGTCGCAGTCGTCGTCGTCGTCGTCACCGTCGGCGTCGTCGTCATCGTCGTGGTCGACATCGGCATCGTCGTCTTCGTCCTCGTCATCGTCGTCGTCGTCACCGTCGTCACCGCCGTCGTCGTCTAGGTCGTCACCGTCGTTGTCGTCGTCGTGACCGTCGTCGTCGTCGTCGTCGTCATCGTCATCGTCGTCGTCGTCGTCGACGTCAGCGTCGGCACAGTCGGCGTCATCACCGTCGTCGCCCTCATGGTCACCGTGGTTGAAGCCCTGGTCGTCGTCGCCGTCGTCGCCGAGGTCATCGAAATCGCTGTCGTCGTCGTCGTCGGCGTCGCCTTCGTCGTGGTCGTCATCGGCATCGCAGTTGCCGTCAACATCGAACCGTCGTCGTCGTCGTCGTCAGCGTCGTCACCGACGTCGTCGTCATCGTCGAGGTCGCCACCCTCGTCGTCGTCGTCGTCCTCGTCGTCGTCACGGTCGTCGTTGCCGTCATCGTCACCGTCGTCATCGTCGCAGTCGTTGTCGTCGTTGGCGGCGTCGTCGGCATCGTCGTCGTCGTCGTCACCGTCGTCGCCGGCGTCGTCGTCGCCGTCACCGTCGCCGGCGTTGTCACCGTCGTCGACGTTGTCGGCGTCGTCACTGTCGGCGTCGTCGTCACCGTCGGCGTCGTCGGCGTCTTCGTCGACGTCTGCGTCGTCGGCGTGGTCAGCGTCGTCGTCGTCGTCGTCACCATCGTTGTCGTCAGAATCGTCACCGTCGTCGTCGTCGTCGGCGTCGTCAGTCGGCGTCGTCGTCGCCGTTGGCGTCGGCGTCGACGGCGTCGTCAACGTCGTCGTCGTCGGCGTCGTCACCGTCTTCGTCGTTCTCGTCGTCGTCGTCGACGTCAGCGTCGACACCGTCGACATCGTTCTCGGCGTCGTCACCTTCGTTGTCGTCGTCGTCACCTTCGTTGTCGTCGTCGTCACCGTCGTCGTCGTCGTCGTCGTCGTCGTCGTCGTTATCATTGTTCACGTCACCATCGTCGTCATCGTCGTCGTCTTCGTCGGCGTCCTCGTCCAAGACGTCGCGTCGTCACCACCGTTTTCGTCGTCGCCGCCGTCGTCACCATCGATGTCGTCGTCGTCAACGTCGTCTTCGCCGTCGGCGTCGGCGTCGTCACCGTCATCGTCGTCGTCGGCGTCGTCACCGTCGGCGTCGTCGTCACCGTCGTCGTCGTCATTGTCATCGACGTCGGCATCGTCGCCATCGTCGTCGTTCGCGTCGTCACACTGTTGTCATCGTCGTCCTGGATTTCCTCGTCGTCGTCGTCGTCTGCGTCGTTACCGTCGTCGTCGTCAGCGTCATCACCGTCGGCGTCGTACCCTCGTCGTCGGCGTCGTCGTCGCTGCTCGACAGTGCCGGCGCCAGCGGTCGCCGGCGTCGGTTACAGGGAAGGGGGGCCCTCCAGTTCCAACCCCCCCTAGCAATTCAGGGAAGGGAAACCCGCTGTCGAACCCCCCGAATTGAGGGGGGTAGGGCCCACCTACTGGTTCGAACCCCCCTCCCCTTGCAAATCGCGGGGGGGGCACCCCCGGGTTCGACTCCCCTCCCCTTCCAAGCATCGCGCTCTCTCAGAGGTTTGCCAGCCTGGCAGTCAGACTCAAACTTCTCTTTCTCAGCCACCGACTTCGCGCGATACTCCTCGTCTTGACTACCCGTGCCCGTACCTTCGAAAATGGGGAAATGATCTGCTAGATCCTTCCACGCTTGGACTGGGTGGTGGACGTCGTGCCGCTCTGTGCGCAAGAAGGCTGCACCCGCAGCGACGTCTCAACGTTAGCCCCAGTGAGCTGCTGCATCTTCTTCTGTAAGGCGTCCAGTTGCTGCACCAGTGCTTGGTCACGTACGGGCTGCATGGCAGGCGATCGGGTGCTGGGGACCTTGTCCAGGGCTCGAGATTTCAAAGCGGAACTATTGGGTACCCACACTGCGCACACCACGTGTGGTCAGACCAATGGGCGTGTGCTTGCAACATTTGCAACACCGAGGCTCACTCAGCATTTACACGTCGCTGCCTATACCCTTTGGCTGCAAAAGAGCGAGGGTAGTGGTTCTGACGAGCCTCGCCGTGGGCACGAAATGAAGATGTACCTGTGTAGAGCGCTACACAGGGAAAGCACTTGGGTCCAGCCGCGGATCAGCGATATACGTTCTATTGTAGCTGACAGTCGAAACCTGCAGCCAAAATGGTTTGGGAAGAATTGGGAGGGAGGGGGTCGAGGAGAAGCAAAGAGGAGAAAGGGCCAGAGAGGAGGAATGGATGACGCGAGAAAGAGCCAGAGGAGGAGGTGCGGAGGAGGAATAGATGGATAAAAAGGAGGGGGGATGGATGACAGCAAAAAAAACTCACCCGGGGTGCACTGGGATGCGGAGGCGGAAGCGGAAAGGCAGCGCGAGGGCTGGCGAGGCGAGCGGGCCTGCAACGGCGGTCCTCGAGGCCGCCATGTCTGAGGAGCCCATCCGGCCGCGAGTGGTGAGTCCAAGGGACCCAGCCTCCTGGGCCTGAGCCGACCGACATGGACAAAGGAGGGATGAGGGATGGAAGGAATGTAGCCGAAGAACCAGGAACGACGAGCACGCGCACGACGATCCCGCGCCCGTCCCCAGCCCCCGATCGCCAACCGGCGAACGCGGGCCGGCGGCGCCCCCAGCCACTTGGGCTTGAGCCGACCGACATGGACAAAGGAGGACAAGAGAGGAAGCTCCGAGATCTAGGCGTCGCAGACTCTTGCGCTGGGCGTCCTCGCCACGCTTGGGGCCCAGGGATCATCGAGGATCGATCCATCTCGAGAGATGCCGCAGAAAAGTGAAATCCAGAGCTCCCATCGTCTTTTTGTAGCGAAAATCATATCTCCCAACGTCGGAGATCAGGGAAGGAGAAAACAGGAGGGGAGGGAAAGGAAAGGATAGGGAAAGAAGGGTACAATGGAGGAAGGGGCCATGTCTCCGATTGTCCTCTGGGACGACATAGCAAGAGCACCGCTCGCGGTGCCCAAAGGTTGAGCCCACCAAACCTGCGGTTATGGGCGTTTGGGCGGATCAGCTCTTCCAACATACGCCCGTTCCCGACCACCACCCCCGGAAGTGTGAACTTTTTGATGGCGGTGTGATGAACCCACTTCGGCCTTAAATGAATGGCCCAAGATTGTTCCAAGTAACCCCAAAAATGTGTCGGAGATTGCGCAAGATTGCCGAAACTGGCCAGGATGGCCCAGATGGCCTCCAGCATGGCTCGAAAAAACGCAGACAGGGTGGAAGGGGCCATCTGGTATACCGAAGGACGCTTTCCTCTGGGCGTAAACACCACACTCACCGCCGCGGGCTTGATGCGACGTGTGTCGAGGCCACGAATTCCGAGACAGGTAAGACAAGTCCTGAACCATCCCCGACATAGTCGGCAGCTGTTGTCATGTCTGCGTTCAGGCTCCAGTTTTTCGGCTGGCAACCAGACGTTCAGTCCGTCAACGAATATCGACAAATGCAAAAGAAAACGCGGAGACAGCGCCAACAGGGAGATTCCCCCCTTAGCCCCCCCCCGCTCACTTCCCCCATAGGAAGTCCCTCCCTCCTGTTTTTTACGTTCCGGAAGCAGCCCCTCGCCCCTCCCCTTCGGCAAACCCCCCTGGAAGGCCCCCCCCCAGTCATTCGCCACGGGAACATGATTCCCAGTGGAGGTGGGATGACATGGCGACGGTGAACTACGGGCACCACCCCCCATTATGGATCTATCAGGACGAGCAGATATCGACAATCCGTTAAAACTGACATATGGGTGAGACGGAGCGAAGTGGAAAGGACGACAACGAGACGATCCGACCCCACTTTACCCTCGCGCGCGCAGGACGCGCGCAATCCTCGGCTCGACCCTCCAGCCAATCCTTCGCAGCCGCGGGCAAAGTCGGCGGCGGGGCGTCGGCGAGCACAGGGGGCGAGCAGGGGGCGGGAAATGACACCCCCCCGCGGCGGGCCGCGCAGGCCGCACGCTTCGACCCCAGCCTAGGGAGCACCGCGGATTCCTTGCGCCCACAGGGGCGCATTGGCCCCCCCCCCGGCGGCGAGCCCAAAAAACTTGCGCAGCGCCAGGGCAGGGGCGCCGATTATCCCGCCAGACCTCCCTCATGCAAGGTCGGAAAAACCAGACGCGCCCCGCGCGCAATTGCCCAGGCTCAGAAGAGAACGTTGAAATTTGCGCACAGGCACTCTGCCCTGTTCTTCCCCCTGCAAGGAGTGGCGCGGCGGCTAGGCCTCCACCGGCATGAATATCTACGCCTTGAAGAGCGTGACATATAATTCCCATTGCTGTCGCACACAGCGTCGCAGTCCTCCGACGACCATCGCCCCCACGTCCATCTGATGCCATTGCATACCCGTTTTCCACCATACTCTGGAGTATCATACTGATGACCACGATTCCAGCGACCCTGATACTGACCACGATGGTAGCTGTTCTGCGTCGAATAACTGCCTGGCGTCTGGCGCCCCGCCCCCTGCCCATCTTGCGCCGGCGACGCCGCGGCGGCGCCACTGCGGAGTGCATCGGAGGGCCTCGGCGGGCCTCGACTCCACATCGCGGCCCCTGCTTCTCCACCTCGGCGGCGCCGAATGCAGGCCCCGCCAGGGCGGCGCGAGCGCGCCGTCGCGGAGAGAGCGCCCATCGGAGACGGCAGCCACCAGGCCCCCCCGCGCGGGCGGCGCGGGAGGGGGGGGAAGGCGAGAAGCAAGCAACTGGCACGGGATTGGCGACTGAGTCTGCGCCCACGACGCCCTCGGTTTCATCACCCAGTGGTTCTGGCAGGGCCGGCGCAAGAACCCCTCCGACTTCGGCGGCTGGCTCCGCGGCGGGCTCCTCCGACGGACTTCGATCGACGATCGGATTGGAAGAGTCTTCTACAGTCATATGGGTCGCCCCAGCACTCTGCGCTGGACGGCCCCCCGGCACCCCGCCACCGACTGAGCCGACTGCCAGGGGTCCGTCGTCTGCACATGAACGAAGGACGCCGACAGCAATTGCCGCATTTTGCTGCCCATGTTTGGCAACCAAGTGAGAGCCCACGGATCAGAACACCCACGGAGCAAAACAGTCACCATATAATAGATCTGCCCAGTGGGTCTGATTGGCGAAGTCTGCAATCGCACTCTGGATCGGCCAGAGACTCGCACGCGACCCAGTCTTGAGGCTGAACCCCAGTCCCGAGATTACTGTTTCCAACGGGTCGGAGTTCCTGCTGGCGTTCTTCTATCATTGTCAAATTCAAATGAATCCCGCCGCGTCTGCGGCGGCAGCGGTCAACTCTTTTCTCGGTGCACTACATCCCCAGTGCTCTCCGACATTCGAGAGCAGCTGCATCTTCGAGGGAGACGCGACGCAACGCCCGCGCATGACATGTCCCATCGCATGTTCTCTGATTTCTTGATCACACGAAGAGGCCCGTGGGCACGCAGCTCAGCCCCCCCCACCCCCCCCCGCGATCATCGAAGAGTCCGGCAATCCTTGCCGCGACGAAACCCTGATCAACATCTTCGTCGCGCGCGGGGTCGAACCGCCATGCACTGGCGCATGAAGTCGGCCGCGGTCGCGATCAACTCGCATCCCGAGCTAGACGAAAGGGCGTTGCACGCGAAAACGGCGGCGCATGCGTTCAAATAATTTGTCGGCCAACTCCGCGGCCTTTGAAATTTCGAAATATAAACTTACAGCTCCTCTTTACAATTCCCTCCACAGCGCCCGGCATCTCCTTCGCGAACAGGGAGCAAGGACCCTCGTCCATCTGAAGTGTTGGTTCGTCAGGGTACTCGCGATCGATTAGGTGGTAGCTGGGAAGGCCGGGGCCAGGGTTCACGAAGCCACCCGGTCTCCGTCTCGCGAAGTTCTCAGAAACAGCGCCAGCACATCCCTCCAAGCGTTCACTTTCACGATGGGGTGCTCGACGCAAGAGGAATGATCACTGCGAGTGCAGGGCGAAAACTTATCCACCTTAGCTGCGCAATTGCTCCCCAGCCAGGTCGCCGCGGAGAGATCCGCCCCGCCCACCGCGAAGTTATCTTCCCGCATCTGTCATTCCTGTCGGCACGGCCACGCTGTCCCCCGCACTGGGCCACATGAACTCACAGAGGGGAGGACATGTCACTGGTGTTTCCGATGGGTCCACATGCCTCCAGTATGTCTTCCGAGAGCTGCACGCCATGAACATTCTCTTGAATGTTTCAATGAATCGAACATGGCTGGAGGAAGACCGCAAACATTCTTTGCCCTGCATGAGGAGAGCGCACATGTCTTTTGCAAGGCAAGACATGCCCACCTTTGACTTTGCCATCCTGAAATATTCGGTCGGCCATTACTGCTGATTCTTCGTTCATACATCTTTATATTAGAATGGACAGTCTGCAAGGGATTAGCACTGCCCCGCTCGCCTGCCCTGGGTAACGTAAGAACTCGGCCCCACTCAGCCCAAATCCACACGCCAGTTGTAAAGGCCCCTCGCTTTGAGGTTCATGGCTTGTTTTCTCAATCCATGGCGCTTCGCGGTGCGCACGGTGGTTTTGGCATCTCTCCACCATGTCGTGGCAACGCGGGCGCTGGCGCGTGCCGGCGCGGAGGCTGCGCAGCCGCGTGCATATATATATATATATATATATATATATATATATAATATATATATATATATATATACATATATATACACACATACATACATACATACATACATACATACATACTACAAAAATACATACATACACAAACACACACACATATCTATATATATATATATATATATATATGTATGCTAACCCCACTCCCTATTTTTAGCGCCCCGCCAGGAGTCGCTCTGGTCAGGGCCGAGCCCCCCCACCAAAAAAAAACTGGCGAGCGCAAGACAGGAGGAGCACGCTTGGGCACCTCGGGAGGCACAAGGCCGCCCCCCCCTGGGAGAGCCTGTCGGGGGCGAGGTTCTGGCTCAAGGCGGATCCCGAGGGGCTCGAGGCACCGAGGACCGCCATACACACCAGCCTCGCAAGAGGCCACGCCGATCGTTGTCGGGCGGGCCTGAGTGACTACAGGTTTAAACGTGGTTTAAAAGGCGAGCGCTTACTGGGGTCTGGGAGCCGCATGGGCCCCCTTTACACGATACCATATGCTAACCCCACTCCCTATTTTTAGCGCCCCGCCAGGAGTCGCTGCGGTCAGGGCCGAGCCCCCCCCGACAGGCCTCCCCAAGAGGAGGGCCAAGCATGCTCCCCCCCCAAACTGGCGAGCACCAGCCAGGAGGAGCACGCTTGGGCACCTCGGGAGGCACAAGGCCGCCCCCCCCTGGGAGAGCCTGTCGGGGGCGAGGTTCTGGCTCCACGGACCCTAAACTGGCTGCGCAGCGAACTCCACAACCGAGACCCGAGACTGTCACCCCATCGAGCGTACTGGCTAAGATGGGAGACAGAGAGGGACGATAAAGGAGGGCAGAAAACGAGCGGTGCGTTTACCTCACTCGGCTTGCCAGGTGCAGGCAAGCGGCGCGCTGCCCCGGCAGCGGCGCGAGCGTCGTCGCCTCGGCGACGGCGTCCTGGACGCACAGGCGCGCCGCCCGCACGCTGGCCCAGCGCCCGCGCAGCAGCGTGGTCTCCATGGACCCGCGCGAGCGGAAGTCGGCGCTGGCACTTTCTCGCCTCCAGCTGTAGAGGGTGAGCCTCTGGTCCTCCAGCTGGAGGCACGAGCAGATCTCCGCGAACACCCGCTGGAAGGCAGCGGACGCTATGCCAATGGCTGGCTGCTCGCGCCGGCTGGCAGCCCCTGCCAGCTCGCGTGCCTTCAGCAGCAGCGCCGCTGCCGTCTGCGAGCGCGCCATGACGAAGTCTCCTGCTCCCGTCTGGTGCTGGCTCTTGGTGTCGCGCAGCCTGATCATGGCTGAACCTGAATTCTCATAAATAGCGATGTCGTGCCATCGCAGCGCCATGATCTCCCCTGTCCTGAGGTACGTGTCATAGGCTGCCAGCAGGATGGCGGCGGCGGCTGGGAACCCAGCCGTGAGAAAGCCGCCGGAGAACGCCAGTGCCATGAGCGGTGCGATTGGAAGCGCACGCCCTGCCGGCTCCGCACGCTGCCACGCGCGAGCCAGGCGCCAGCTCTCTCGAAGACGACCGCGGAGAGGGGGGAAGTGGTGGCACATACCTGCGATGGCGCAGTTCACGTCGAGCAGGGACCCCCCTGCGGCCCAGCGCCCTTCAATGTAGTCAACCAGGCCCACGTCCGCTTGCACTGCCGAATGGACTTCGCGCCTCTGCGCGACCCACCAGTCAAAGACGCTGTCGACCGCCTCCTGGTAGCGCTTCCGCGTGAGAGGAGTGACTGACAGCTCTCGCAGGGGTCTGCTGCGGGCGGCCGTCCTCCGCGCCAGAGCCTTCGCTGCCACTCTCCTCGCCCGGGCCGCAGCGCGCCCATGTCCAGCGGGAAGGGACGTCCGCGGGCATGTCGTCTGTGTCGGAGTAGCCGTACATCGGGCAGCAGTTGGTCGCGAGCGCAAGCGCATTGAGGCACCTGATCCCTGGCTGGAGCCGCCAGGCGCTCGACCTGCACTTCGTGCAGACTGCTGCCACCGCTTGGGCATCGAGTAGGCGCAGGTAGCGGCAGCTGTGCTTCGCAACGTCTCGGCAGCACCACCTGGCTCCAGCCACTGCGGCCTCCAGCTCCAAATCGGAGATGTGGGCTGGTCGCTGCCACTTGAAGCTCTTGGCAATGCGCCAAGCCCACAGCGACGTTCGCAGAGCCGACCTTGGCCACGCCCGAGCTCGGTACGGGGCTCCAGAGTCAAGTCTGACGTCCGTGCCGCCCCGATCGGCTATGCACAGGAAGTCAACGATGAGCCCCCGCTCGGCGGCAGCGTGCCTGTAGCCAGGAGTCTTGAAATCTGCGTCGACGTTCCAGTTGGGCCCCCGCTCGCCGACTTGCAAACACTGCTCGGCGGGAAGTGGTACGGACAAAGCCCCAATTTGAGCCAGCGAGCTGCCGAAAAGGAACATGACGCACTGGACGCAGAAAGCATTACCAACAAGGCATTCCATGATGATGTCTCTTTCTGCTGAGGGGACGCCGTCCTTGACGGCTGATTCAAAATAGCGCCTATCAAACCCCATGAGCACACCTCGCCCCTCAGCGACAGGAAGCCTACCTTGCGCTCGATCAGCGCTCCACAGCAGCACAGCATCCTCGTAATTGTTACCCTGATAGCGATGCTGATCTTCGGCCCAGCGCGCCAGCGCTGTGGAACTGGCGCGCTCCAAGCCGACAGGCCTCAGCGGCGGGCGTCACCGTGGCACTGGCCTGGTGAAGCAAGGAAGGTCCACCCCGGGGTCGTCCAGCCTCCACCCTGGCAGAGGCCAAGGGTCAGCAGCGGTGCGCTCCACGCTGACCTCAACCTTGTTATACTGACTGATGCCCTCGCCCTTCATCTCGACGCTCGTGCCATGCGGAAGATGACTGCAGGCGGGCCAGGAACACCAGAAAAGACGAGCCCTGCGCACCCCGGTGAAGTCCCTCGCCTCGAACAGCAGCGGCGTGACGCCCAGCGCCTGCGAGAACTGGCCCCTCGCCTCGGCGCCCATGCTGAACACATTCTCGACGAACCAATCGACGCGCTTGCCTTGCCGAACACGCGTTTGGAGGCTTCGATGAGGGCAGGGACCTTCCAGAATAACTTGCTCCTGTCTCCTTCCAGGCCCTTGCCCACCACGTTGCGGGTAGAGATCCTGGCACGGACTCCCCGCGGTAATGAAGACCCAGTCGGCGTCGCGCCTGAACCCCTCAAGCACGCGGGTGAATCTCTCAAGGTCCAAGGCCTCGACGTTACCCAGCTCAATAACGCCAGGCCACCGCCGCCGCACCAGCCGCCGCGCTGCCGGCTCTACCTCCGAGCAGAGGTGGGCGGCCACGCTCGTGGGCAGGCGATGCGCGGCCACGGCAGTAGCGGCAGCCCTGGCGAACAACTCCACCAGGACGACGCGCGGCCGCCACTGTATCATCTGTGGCGCAGCGAAGGGGGCGTGCACGGATTCCTCGCACAGTCCTCCTTCGCCTGTGGCTGCCAGCACCCCCCGTGCGGTGAGGCCAGCGGAATAGCAGATGCCGCCCGCCTGTTCGCTCGCATCCGTCGCGATCACCCCCGTGTCGATCTTGGCCACGCAGAAGACTAAGAGCTCGCCGCACATGACCGAGGGCACAGCTTGCGGATACCGCCACTGCCCAGCAGCCCAGCACTCGTTCAGGAACCCCATGAACGGCAGGCGGAACTCCGCCACGCGCACACAGCGGCCCAGAGCGGCCCAGCACCACGAGCATTGCCTTGACCGTGACCTGAGGCTGGCCCATCACCCACATCACGCGCGCTAAGAGCAGGACCTGCTTCTCGACTGTGACTCCAACTCGGCCGACCATGCCGTCTAGCCCGGCACCCATGCGCTCCAGGACGAGCTCGCGGTGCTTGGCCTTGCCTTCAGCAACTTGGATGCCACTCCTCTGGTAGGCGGCGCGCTGCTCAGACTGGACCTCGCTAAGCGTGCCGGCCAACTCATCCAGGCGGCTACCCTGGACGATCTCCCCGTGGTCCCAGTCGTCGATGTAACTGCACCCAGGCTTGCTCCAGCTCCTTCGCTCTCAGGGGCAACGGGCGGTCCTTCCTCCACTCAGCTTGGGGCGGGAATCCTGCGGCAAGTGGCTTCAGCCCAAAGCCGGGGCGCCGATGGCAGTGTTGGAAGACTGTGACAGCATTTATCCAGCCCATCGGGATGACGCGCAGGGCGATGTGCGTCCTCACTGCTCCGTTGACTCCGATGAGCTCGTTGGGGCTCGCCTCAGCTAGGACCATGTAGGGCTGCCAAGCCTCGGGCAACTCGTAGCAGTAGAATGCTGACGCTTGATCGTCGGACGACCGCAGCAGCACATGTCCCTCAGGAAGCGGAATCGAGACCCACGACGGCGAGGCGCTGAGGGTCCCAATGTCATCCCGCATCGTCCGCTGGTAGCTGTTCGCGGGGACCATGTTCATGATGAGCCGCTGCACCACATCACGACCAGGAGTTGGAGTTCCCGTCTTGGCGACCCCAAAAGCACCTGCTAGCACCTTCCTGTTGCCCACCTTGAAGATCCGGTCATCGGCGATGGGCACCGCGAGGCCTAACTCCACCAGCTTGGCGCCAATGCGATGCCACTTCGCCTTCGAGCTAGCCTGGGTAGCAGCCCGCGGGACCTCCTCCGGCCACTCGGCCTTGGGCAGCAGTGCCAACGTGGGATCAGCCAGCCACCCAGCCACACGCTCATCGGCGATGTCCAGCGCACGCACCGAGGCAGCAACGCCTCTCGGCGGGAGGCCTGGCATAACACCTCCCAGCGTGAGCGGCAGGGCCCGCGATACCTCCTCGCCTCCATACGTGACATCACGTGCAGCAACGACCTCATGCCAGTCAGGGACCTGGAAGTCCTTCGCGGAGTCTGAGGCGAAGTACCCGGCAGCCTTGCGAACGACGCGCATCGAGCTCTCCTGTGCGGCCGTAAGAGGACCTGTGGGGACTGGGCTGCCTTTAGCGTGACCAGCAGATTGGTGGTTCAGGGAGTGCACGACCAGCACTACCCAGCCTTCAGCGATTGCAGCATCCAGGCCAGTCTCGGGGACCGTGCCACGGCCCAGCCACTCTGCACGGCACCTCAAGATACCAGGAGCGTCAGGAATAGGAAGCGGCAGCGCCTCGCGCATCCGCGCGCGGCGCGCTCGCTGCACTGGCGGAGCGCTACGAACAAACCTCCCGACATCTCCTGGAGCACCGTGTACCGCCTCGTAGAGCATCATGACTAGCTCGAACCGTGGTCGCCTACCTGGCCTCCCTGCACTGGCGGGCAGCTTCCTCCAGCGGCGGCTCTGCAAAGGTCCTCGCAAGCACTGCTCCTCGCGCGCGCCTGCAGCACCCGCGTGGCCGCCAGCCGCAACCGCCAGGCTCTGGCCTGCCTGGCTGGGGCTCAGCGCCCCTCCGGAACCCAGGGCTGCCTCACCACCCGGGTCCGGGTCGCGCCGCGCCCGCGGCCTGGAGCTGCTCCGCGTCCGCAACCTGCAGCTGCTGCTCCTCCTGGCCCGCTCCGGCGAGCCATCTTCGAGATGACCAGGCGCGACTTCCAGTCGCGTCGACTCTCGTCGGGGCGGCGGGGGTTCGCAACCTTCGACTCCTTCCACGTGAGCTGAGGGCGGGGGTCGGCTGGCGTGCTGTCGGGACTCCCGTCCGCAATGGCTGCCAGCTCTGGAGGTAGCCCGCTCTGCGCTGCTGCTGCTGCTGCTGCTGCTGCTGCTGCTGCTGCTGCTGCTGCTGCTGCTGCTGGGCCCCCGCTGAGCCTCGGCGATCCTGGCGCCGATCGCGGGGCGGTCCTCTGCTTGGCTGGGACCGCGCTGCTGACTCCCACTGGTGCGCGGCTCGCCAAGATCCGCAGCGCTGCAGAGCCCGCCACGGGCGTCGCCGCCGGGGTCTGCGGTCTCGCCTCTGCGAGACTGTAACCAGCAGGAGCCGCTCCCCCCCGGGCTGGTGGAGAGGGCTCCCAACCAAACCCCTAGCCCGACAGGAGTCATTTCTTGTCGGCGAGGCGGCGCTTCAGCTCGGCGACCCTCTCTCGCGCGCCTCCACCCGCTCGGCTGCAGCCTCCTCGTCGCGGGACGCGCCAGCGGGCAGACTCTCGCTGGGGATCAGCGTGGGCCACCTGGCACTGCGCCAATGGCCATCCCGAAGCGCCATCGTCCTGGCCTTGAACTCCTGCATGAGCAAATCGCTGACCTCGACGACCTGCCCGCGGAGCAAGCCGTCGACCGCCTCGCCCAGCGTGCGCAGCACTCGCACCTCGTCCGCGTCGAGCGTCCGCGGCGGGTGCGCCACGAAGAACACCGTGTTGAGGCACTGCGTCACGCACGGGACGAAGGGGTCCGCCTGGCACGGGTCTGCGAGCAGCTGAGTGAACTGGCTCCTGAGGTGCGCCAGCCCATTCTCCAGGAGGACCCCCGGCCGCTGCTTCGCCATCCTCTGGAACAGATCGCGCCTGACGTTGACACCCTGGCAGGTGTCGCGATCCAGCGCGCCAGAGCCCTCGTCGTTGAGCTCGCTGCCATCCTCGCCGCCAAGCAACGCCGCCGCGAGCGTCGCGGCCAGCCTCTCGCGTCCAGCAGGCGCTGCCGAGACTCGAGCACCACTCCCCGCAGCTGCGTGGTCCTGCACGCGCTGCGCCAGCGCTCGAGCAGCGCCAGGCACGGCAGCATTCTTGGCGACCGCTCGGGATCCAAAGCCGCCACCCGTGCCTCCTCGCAGCCGCTGGCCGAGCTGGGCCAGGCGCCCGTCCAGGGCTGGGCCCTCGAGCGCCCGCTCGAGCCCTGCGACCTCCGCGTCGAGCGGGCTCCCGCCGAGCGGCGCTGCACCACCGAGAGCGGCACTCAGCTCCTCCTTGCGGGCCCGCTTGGCCACTGGCTCGCCCTCGCCGCCATCGGCCCCCTCCGTCCCCGGGGGCGGGGGCCCCGGCAGTGGCGGCAGCGGCGCAGGCGGCAGCCCGGCATGCCGGGCGGCGCCCTCGTCGCCTGAGCCAGCCTGGAACGCCCCAGGCGTCGGGCAGCCAGCGGGCTCGACGCGCAGCCCTCCAGCAGCCCGCGGGGCTAGGTGGTACTCCGCCTCCAGCGTCTCCAAGTCGCGGGGGTCGACCAGCCGCCAGATGTCGACATGCTCGACTCCTCCAGCGCCGATCGGGCAGCCTGCCGTGCACTCCTCCTGCGGGCAGCCGCACAGGTGGTACAACGTACCCAGGGGCCTCCCGCCAGGCTTGCCCCCGGCCTGGGCATGCCAGCTGAAGTACCCGTCGGTGGCCCCCACGTGCTGCGCCCGCAGGTAGCGGCCGCCCGCCGACACCGCCTCCGCGTCGGTCTCGCCCAGCGCGTGGGCGATCTCCACGCGCAGCAGCTCGCGGCCCTGGGCGCGGCCTTCGTAGTCGCGGACCCTCACCTCCAGGTGATCCCCTGCGGCCAGCCCCACGGCGCCCAGCAGCTCGCCGTTCGACCCCCCGTCGAACCATGCGCCTCGAGGGAAAGGCCAGCGGGACCCTCGAGTGCGCATCCGCCGACAGCGCCTCACGGCACCATCCACACAACTCTCAGCGCGGTGCCGGGAAAGCGTGGGACTGCGACCAGCGGAGAGAAGGGCTGTCGCTGGCCGCGAGCAACGCGGGGGACCTTCGCCCCGAGGTCCCCCGCTCCTCCTGCCCAAGAGGGGTCAAAGCCAAAGTGACTGCGGGTTAAACGTGGTTTAAACGGCGAGCGCTTCCTGGGGTCTGGGAGCCGCATAGGCCCCCTGTAAAAGGATACCATACGTATATACATACAACATATATGTATGTACGTGTGTACACATATACATATACATATACATATACATATACATATACATATACATATACATCTACATATATATATATATATATATATATATATATATATATATGTATGCCGTCATCCGTCCATGCTCAATCGCACGCGCCCGTCGTAGTTGTCGACGAATGTCATCAGAATGTAGGGGAGCCACCATGCCAAGCAGGTGCAACTTCATTCCCAAGCACGGACGTGGGACACTGGGAGATGGAGGTGGCGCCAACCTGCGGCAGTTTCGGGAAAGCGCGCGAGCGCTGAGAGGCGCTGAGCTATGGCGCGAAGAACTGTTGTGCCACTGTGAGCTAGTGGCGTCTCTATGACTCTTCGGGGCCATGGTGCTACTGCGCGTCTCTGGGCTTCTTGTGGGTCTTGCGTGGGCCCGTCTAAGACTCTGTCGGGCTGTCTTCGGGGAATTTTGAACTGTTTAAAGCCATGTTGGCCCATCGCGGGGACTGATGGGGGCCAGGGGCACGGCCGGGCCAGGATGGCACGGCCGGTCGGTCGGAATGCGCAGGCGGGGGGCCACGGGGCGGAAGGGGCGGAACAGGGGGCGGCCTGGGAGAAGGGGGGGGGGGCGCGGTAGGTCCGCGGAAGCCACGGGGCAGAGGGCGGAGGGGGGGGGCACGGTCGGTCGGTCGGTCGGAATAAGCAGACGGGAGCCACGGGGCGGAGGGGCGCGGGGGGGCACGGGGGCGAGAGGGCATGGTCGGGCAGGGGGGGGCACGGCCGGTCGGTCGATCGGAATAAGCAGACGGGGGCGACGGAAGCGGGCACGGTTGGTCGGTCGGTCGGACTAAGCAGACTGGGGCCACAGGGCAGAGGGGGGCAGGGGAAATCAGGGGGACGGGAGGGCACGGTCGGGGAGGGGGGGGCACGGTCGGTCGGTCGGTCGGAATACAAACGGGGGCCAAGGGGCGGAGGGGGGGGGCGCGCTCGGTCGGCCGGTCCGAATTGGCAGAGGAGGGCCACGGAGCGAGGGGGGGGGGAGCACGGTCGGTCGGCCGGCTGGTCGGAGTAAGCAAGCGGGGGCCACGGGGCGGAGGGGCGCGGGGGGCGCAGGGGATGGGAGGGCACGGTCGGTCGGTCGGTCTGAAGAAGCAGACGGGGGCCACGGGGCGGAGGGACGCGGGGGGCCAAGCAGAGCACGCTGGGGCGGCACGAACCCAGGCCACACCCTAGTACGTATCACAACACGAAACCAGCACACATCCCAGCACGTATCCCAGCACACGGAGGCAGCACACAGCCCTGCACGCATCCCAGCACGAAGCAGCACACGTCGCAGCACACATCCCAGCACACATCCTGATCCAGCACACATCTCAGGCACGATCGGTCGGTCGGTCGACATAACGCAGTGCGAGATCACACTGGTCGGTTTGTTAGGTGCGAAGTGGGAGGGAAAAGGGACGGGGGGGCGGGCAGAGGACGAAGAGAGGAAAGGGGGCACGGTCGGTCGGAATAGTTTATAAACGGGGTACGGGACAAGGGGGGGGGAGGGGGCACGGTCGGTCGGAATAAGGAAGACGAGGGCGAAGGGAGACTGGCGGAGCGCAAAGAAACGAGGGGCGCACGGTCGGTCGGACTAAGCCAAGGGGGGCACGGGACGGGCGGACAAGGAGGCGGGGGGACGATCGGTAGGAAAAAGCCAAGGGTGGGGGGGGGCTCATATGGTGGGAGGGCTGGCAAGCCACGGCACGGGGACAAGGCGCAGGACAGGGAGAGGGGAGGGGGCACGGTCGGACGGAATCGGCCGGGGGGGGGCGATGGGGAGAAGGGAATGGGGGGGGAGGGGGGCGGAGGACAGGGAAGGGTCGGTCGGAATAAAGAAAAGTGAACGAGGGGGGCGGGAAAGGGGGGGGGGCAGAGAGAAGAAGGGGGGGCACGGTCGGTCGGACCAAATAAGGGGGGCACGGGACAGGCGCGGGGGAGGAGGCGCGGCCGGTCGGAATAAAGGAGGAAGCACAGATGATGGGGGGAGCACGGTCGGTCGGAATAAGCCTAGAGGCGCGGGCTCGCGGGAGAAAGCCAAGAGGCCACGAGACGGGAACAAGGGAGAAGAGAAGGAGAAGGGGGAGGGGGGGGCACGGTCGGTCGGAATAAGCCGGGGGAGAACGTGGGGGGACCGCAAAGAGAAGGGGGGATAGGGGGGGGGCAGGGAAAGGGGGGCACGGTCGGTCGGAATGAGCCAAGGGGAGAGGGGGGTGGGCGCGAGACAGGCAGAGGGGGGATGCACGGTCGGGCGGAATAAGCCAAGGAAGGGGAACGGAAGCCGAGGGGGCGGGGGCACGGTCAATCGGAATAAAGAAGGGAGTGGGCTCGCGGGGGCACGGGGCGGGAATCGGGAGCGGGACGCAGGGGGGCGCGGCGGGGCAAAAAAAGTGAAGACGGGAACAGGGCGCAGCACAGGGGGGGGGGAGGGGGGGCGGGGCGCAGTCAATCGGAATAAGCCAGGGAAGGCCGATGGGGAAGGGGAAATGGGCAGGGCAAGGGGGGCGGGGGTACAGGGAGAGGAGGGAGGCGCGGTCGGTCGGGATGAGCCTGGGCGGGGCGCGGGGCAAGGAGAGGGGGGGAGCACGGTCGGTCAGAATAACATATCTATATACATATACACATTTGAATATATACATCAAATATGAGGAGGGGGGAGAAGAGGGGGGGGGCCAGCGGGGGGCAGGGAAGAGGGTGGGCCAATCGGTCGGAATAAGACAAGGGAGGGCACGGGACAGGCGCAGGGGAGGGGGCACGGCCGGTCGGAACGGGCGCCGGAGGGGCGAGGACGGGGGCGCGGGAGCACGGTCGGACAGAATAAGCCAGGGCGGGGGCTCGCGGGGGGGAACATAGAAAAAACGGTACAGAGCAGGGCACGGGGCGGGAAGGGGAGGGGGCACGGTCGATCTGAATGAGCCAGGGGGGGGCGAGGGGGGAAATGAAGAAGGGAGGAGGGGCGGAAGGCAGGGAGAAGGGGGCACGGTCGGTCGGGCTAGAGCAGACGGGGGGGCACGGGGACAAGGAGAAGGGAGGAGGCGCGGCCGGTCGGAATGCGCAAGGGGCGGGGGGGGGCCGGAGGACGGGGCGCCGGGGGCACGGTCGGTCGGAATATGCCAGGGGATGGGGGGGGCTCGTTGGGGCGAACGCAAGAGGGCCACGGGGCGGGGAGAGGGCGCGGGACAGGGAGAGGAGATAGGGCACGGTCGGTCGGGATAAACCAAGGGGGGGCGAAGGGCGAAGGAAATGCGCAAGGGGGGGGCGGAGGACAGCGGGAGAGGGCCGTCGGTCGGAATTATGCAGGGGGGGCGGGGGGAGATTACGCAAGAGGGAGGGCACGGACAGAGGGCGCACAGGGCAGCGGGAGGAGGGGCGGGGAATGTGAGCGGGCGCGCGGCCGGAGGGGATCAGGAAAGGGGCGCGAGAGGGGAAGGGGGGGCGGGGGCAGGGGGGGGGGGGGGGGGCAAAAAAGCCGCGGAGCGGGGAGAGCGCATGGGACAGGGAGAGAGAGGAGGGGGCACGGCCGGCCAGAATAAGCCAGGGATGGCGAAGGGAATGGAAATTGGGCGGGGGGGGGGGGGGCGGAGGCAGGGAGAGGGGGGGGGCACGGTCAATCACCATAAAACAAGGGGGCGGCACGGAAGACAGGGGAGCGGGGGCACGGCCGGTCGGAATAAGCCAGGGGGGGCTCGCAGGGCGAAGGCGAAAAGGTCACGGGGCGGGGGCAGCCTTTGACAGATCCACACGCATACCAACGCAGATGGTCGGAGCAGCGCGCAGACAGCAGACACCCCAACACGCGGGCCAGCCGACGGAGAGAGGACGCACCCCAGCGTTCACAACGCGCTGCCCACCAGACGGAGACAGGACACACCCCGGCGTTTACATTCCAGGCCACATGTCTTCGCTCGTCCCAGGGCACGTCCAGTACATTCCAGGCGCGCATTCCAGTCCAACACATTCCAGGCACTCATTCCAGCAGACGGAGACAGGACACACCCCGGCGGTCACAGTCCACGACACATCTCTTCGCACATCCCAGGGCACGTCCAGCACATTCCAGGCTCGTCCGGTCGAAACAATTCAGTGGGAGATTACACCGGTAGGTAAGATAATAATCATTTGTGTATGTCACACCGCGAAGAACGAGGCATCCGTGTCATTGCTGGCGCGGGCGCAAAGTGCAAGATCGATGATCTGCCCACTTGGGATATCCCTGGAGACCTATCGAACGATAAGGAGGCATTCGAAACTTGCTGCCGCAATGCACCTCTTCGTGGAAGAGCACGACACCACCCCGCTCCTTCTTGCGAGTCGGGGGAACTGTCCAGACTTCCCCGGCGATGGGAAACTCAAAGACTCCTTTCAGTTGGCACTCTGCCCTCCAAGGGCGACGTTGCGTTGATTGTGCCATCTCTGCACTAGCAGGCTGCCCCGATTGGCTGAGCCCATCAGGGGGCGATCAGAAAATTCCAGGGGGCGATGAAAAGGATCCTTGACAAGATAAAATCCTACCGATGTCACTAGACTGCGAAAGAATACCGCCTTTTTTCCCGCATGTGCATCCATGCGCCATGCTCCTGAAACATATTAAACTAGCCACATGGCACATGCGTTCGCTCTACGTCAGCAAGTGGAACGGAGTGCCCCAGCGCAGTTCGGAT